GACCTTCAGTCTATTCTAATTTAGTAAACAAGTATGACTTTTCACAACTTGAGTTTCCGGTTGAATTACAAGATATTCCCAAGTTTGAAAAATTAAATAATGTAAGTATTTCTGTTTTCGGTCTTAATACATCCGAAGAGAATGAGACAGCGGAGGGAGAGGAGAGAAACGCGGGAGAGTCATCAGAGCCTCCGAAAAAACGCCTTAAACGTGAAAATTATAAAATATTTCCTCTTAAAGTAGCAAAATTAGAGAAGCAGGATCATATCGATCTCCTCTTCATATCAGATGGGGCAGGAAACTTCCATTTTGCCTGGATTTCCAACTTTGAGTCCTTAGTCAGACGTCAACTTACATCTCACGAGGAAAAGGTTTTCATCTGTAAAAAGTGTTTTTCGCACTACAGAGAGCTGGAGCGTTTAGAATCTCATAAAATTTTATGCGATAAGATATCATCTGATTCTTTTATTCCGAAATGTCCTGAAAATTCCTATGTAGAATTCAAAAATTTTGAAAGGTCTATAAAACATAATTATGTTGTCTATTGTGATGCTGAGTGCATTCTTGCTCCGCTGGAAAAAGAAGGGAATCCGACTACTTTTGCATATCAAAAACATGTACCTATCGCTTTTTCACTGATTTTAGTTACTGAAGATCCTTTATTTAATACAATCAAAAATCAACCGCTCGTTCATTACGGAAAAAATGCTCACGAGGCTTTCATGAATAAAATCATAGAATTGGGGTACTCAATTTCCGACAATCTTAACGATAAAACATCACCCATCACAATGACGAAAGAAGAGGAGGAGTATTTTAGAAATAAACAAGAATGTGAGCATTGTACAGTAACTTTCACCGATAAAAACCCTAAAGTTCGGGATCATAGTCACCAGCGGTTCGATATGAACGATCCTAACGTCAAAAAAACTAATTTCAGGGCTGTTTTATGTCAGAAATGCAATGTTAAGCATTATCATGCCAAAAGCTTAAAAGTTGTCGTACATAATGGATCTCGATACGACTTTAAAGCGATGATCATTGGTCTCAGAGGGAACGAACACGAAATTTCAATTTTACCGAGTACTGAGGAAACATACATTAGTTTTTCAATTCAACTTAAAAATGGGTATAAAATCACGTTCATCGACTCGTATCGATTCCTTTCTTTTTCGCTGAGCAAGCTTGCCTCAACAATGCCCGCCGATGCTTTTAAAATAACGAGTACTTTATGCAAGACAGAGGAACAGTTGAAGATTGTCAAACAGAAAGCAGTTTTTCCTTATGATTATATTTCGGATGAAGAAAAACTCTCAATTACCAGCCCTCCTCCCCCGGAGGCTTTTTACAATAAATTAACCGATGAACACGTAAGCGATTTTGATTATCAGAGATTTTGTCATGCTTGGAGAGCTTTTGATGTGAAAGATTTAAAGGCCTATCTGCTCCTTTATCTTAAAATCGATACGACCATTCTGCTTGATTGCGTTGAATTATTCAGACAATTCTGCATTGACAATTTTCAACTGGATCCTCTGAACTACGTAACATTACCTAGTTTCGCACATGACGCATTCTTAAAAATGACAGGTGCAAAAATTAAATTATTCAGCGATTATGACATGCATTTATTCATAAATGAGGGAATTAGAGGAGGAATCACTCAATGTTCTTTAAAATATGCAAAGGCAAATAATCCGTACATCCCTGATTCCTACAATCCATCGGAACCAACTTCTTATATACAATATATCGATGCCAACGGATTGTACTGCTATATAATGGCAACGGCTTGTTTACCATACGACAAGTACGAATGGATGGATGAGGAGGAGCTGCTGTGGCTTAAAAATAATTTAATGCATGTATCTGATGACGGACCAGTCGGATACATCGTATCTGCTGACGTCAGAGTTCCCGAGCATCTTCACGATACGCATAAATGGCTACCATTTCTTCCTGAGAAAAAAATCCCTCCTGTCCCGGGAAGTAAACAGACTAAATTGCTTGCATGTCTCAATGACAAAAAAGGGTACATCGTTCATTACGTCACATTGAAACAAGCTTTGAAAAACGGATTAATTTTAGAGAAACTTGGCAAGGGTATTAAATTTTTACAGAAACCGTACATGAAATCTTTCATGGAAAAATGTGGAGAATTACGTAAAGCAGCAAAAGATGATCCGTTTAAATCAGCAACGATAAAATTGATAGCAA